CACACAATGTAGCATGTTTACGTCTACAAACAAACACCATGCAAAAATCTACAACCATCACAATGTTTTATTTATGTAAAAATAACGACGCGTCTTACACCAACTTAATTCACCAGATCTAAATCTACAACCAACTTAATTCACCAGATCTAAATCTACAACCAACTTAATTCACCAGATCTAAATCTACAACCAACTTAATTCACCAGATCTAAATTTACAACCAACTCAATTCGCCAGATCTAGATCTACAACCAATTCAATTCGCCAGATCTAGATCTACCACCAACGCAATTAACCAAATCTAAATCTACAACCAATTCAATTCGCCAGATCTAGATCTACCACCAACGCAATTAACCAAATCTAAATCTACAACCAACTCAATTCACCCGATCTAAATCTACCACCTACTCAATTCACCAGATCTAAATCTACCACCTACTCAATTCACCAGATCTAAATCTACCACCTACTCAATTCACCAGATCTAACTCTACAACCAACTCAATTCACCAGATCTCAATCTACAACCAACTTAATATACCAAATCTAAATCTACCACCAACTCAATTCACCAGATCTAAATCTACAACCAACTCAATTCAACAGATCTAAATCTACAACCTACTCAATTCATCAGATCTAAATCTACAACCAACTCAAATCACTAGATCTAAAACTACAACCAACTCAATTCACCAGATCTAAATCTACTACCAACCCAATTCACTCAGATCTAAATCTACCACCAACTCAATTCACCAGATTTAAATCTACAACCAACTCAATTCACCAGGTCTAAATCTACAACAACCAACACAATGTGCTGAGCAACTAAAACTATTTATAAGTCTCCACTAGCCAATATCACCCAATGCGAAATCTCAACCAGCACTCAATAATCTGTAATATTTAAAGAGGAAATTTCATTTATGATCGTACATGTATGTGTTACTTACGTAATGATAATTGCGTTTTGAAATAAAGTGAATTAATTGTAATGTGCTAAAAGCTAGAAACAACGAGAGAATAGAAAGGATTGTATATACAGGAAAATAATATCTAATTATTAGGAGACGCTCAGTCCAATATTTTTAGATTTAAATACGATTTGCTAAGCTACATAAACACACCATTGTTGACTTAACTTAGAAGTGTTGGATACAACCATTTTAATTTCATTGAAAACCGCCATATTTGTAAATGCTTATTTGTAAAAGGTAACGAATAAACTAAACAGTTTATGGTTTTAAAGTTAGTGGTAATTTGTATTTTATGATTATTTAATGGTTTTTAGGCTTCGGTGGTCCTGATTTGTTATCACTTTTACATATTGTTTAATTTGTCACTAGGGATTTCATGTATATCTTTATATCTTTTACATTGCCTCTCATTGCAAATATACATGCACAGATTAGTTTAAGTTTCCCTATAGGCTTAAATTAAAGTATCTTTTTTATTAATTTATTAATTTGTCGCTTCTTCATCTTGAACATTCTTCTGCATGTTGCGGCTTCCATCTTGTACAAACCTTCCTTCTTCATGTTTAGATTATACATCTTTCCTCTTAGAGGGAATGTAAAGAGGATTTCTAAATTGTTATGCTTATCGGGGACACTAATAGCATCAATTTGCACCAATCCAATTTTCATTCAGATGTCTGTGGTTTTATGACCTCACCCTCGCAAAATTTGCTTGTATCACATCCTTTGCTAAGGTGACATCATAAAACACTAAGTTTTAGTGGAATTGCTAGAACTACAAACGTCTGATTGAAAATTGGAATGGCGCAAATTGATACTATCATTGTCCCGATACACATAAAAAGTTTAAAAAACCTCTTTTACAATCCCTTTAATTCAATGATTCTTCATCTTGACCATTATTCCTCGTCTCGTGATTTCCATCTGGTATTTTGCTCCCCCCCCCCCCCCTTACACTCTTGTCCAGTTCTTCACGTTGTTTTATTGTTATCCATTAAGCTCCCAATTTTTCAGCTTGTTCGTTCTTCTTCGTGGATCGCTTCTTCATCTGGTTAATTCTTCGTAGTGTCTTAATTTCTATTTTTGGCCAATCTTCTTGTCTAAATTCTAAGTCATTTTGTTAATTTGTCTTTGTGACTACTTGACTTTTCGTCCAGGTAAATTTTATCATCTTGTATGTTGTACTTCATGCCACTGAAACGACCAATGACCGATTTTCACCAACATGAAAATGTACAGAGCCCATTCTGTTTTTTTTCGTGTTTATATTTGTATATATGAAAAATTAAGAGGAAATAAATAGTTCATAAAGGAAGTTCAATTCAATCTTTAGAACTGTAAACATTAACTAGGACATTTCTATTAACATCTTTTGATGTCCTGATCTTTAATTTCACCAGTTTATTGGACCTATTTAACACTTTCAACATTTAAATCAAATAAATTGTCAACAAATGTGGTATATATAATAGTAACATGACAGCCGACTCTCAAGACGAGACAGGAACCAAAACTAAGTATTTTATTTTATCTTAAACTGGGTATCCATATCACAAAACAGTTGAACGGTAGGCTTTTCCCTTCTTCGTACACCTTCCCTTCAACTGTATTATGATACCGGATGAGGCACATCGTTGAATATCCGGTAATGTCTTGATGGATTCATGAATGGTTTAGCTATGAATGATATCAAAATATTTGTCAAATTTCGCTTAAATCAATGTGCAATTTCTCGAAATCTACCGATCCAACATCTTCCATAAAAGGTGACCTATTGAGTCTATCGACCAAAATTTCACATGAATTGTTACCCGAATCGAGCATTCCACAACAGTCTCAGATGAAATTTTACAGAATTGAGCCTTTTGGTGGTGGTGGTTGGAAGGTCCAGGGTTCAATCCCGGCATAGTTTCGAATGGGACAATGAACCGAGGCCCCGTGTGCTAAAGCCTATGCACGTTAAAGATCCTTCGACAGTTGGGAATCAGAAAAGAGCAGGCTAATGCTGCTGTCCTGGCGAAATTTCCCTCATTGCACTCTGCACGACGTTATTAGCCGACATGGTGCAGACAATAGTACGTAAATCTCCATTCAGCAAGGTATATACATCCTATTTTCAGAATCTCAAATCAGAACTGTCTATTTTCAAGATATTATGGGAATACCATACCAAATACTAGGTATTTATATGGAGTATAGGCCTTGTTTCTGGCTTTACCTATGCCTACAACTTTTAACGAAGAACATGGAAAGAAGGTTTATAACCAATATAGAAATATATAATGAATCCTTGCTTTACCTATATTAAAATAGTTAGTAGATCTACATACATTTTCAACAGTTTTATAGATTAAGACAGATGAATGAGTTAATTAAAATTTAGATCTTGGCACCCCGCTACCTTATTTACAGGTAAAATACAATTAACTTCTTACTCATCGCACCATCTATTATCATCAAATTAATGCTAGCCTACAAGATTTGACAACTAACTACAAACATTTACCTGCCACAATTCGACCAAATGATTAGTTCCTGCAAATGATGGATTAGCCTTTTGTCTTCCCGCCAATATTGACGTCTGTTGAAATAATATCTGTCGAGATGAGTTTTAATACGCCATATTTCATGATATTAACATCTGAAGGTTGATGGGGTGGTCAAATTCGGCATCAATCATCTTGCATTGTTTTGACTAAGATATCAATTTATCTTATCTTTATGTTACGAAATTTCTGTTCTTTAAGGTAAGATGGTATTGGTAATATAGATAAATATACAACATGTACAGCATTACATACATTGTGTGATGGGTGGAACAAATACAACCCGGTTTCCCCTTGTCAGTGATGCAGGTAAGAGGGGCTGGCATGGAAAAAACGTCTAGTCGTTCGAATGGGACAATAAACCGAGGCGCTGTGTGCTACAGGATGTGCACGTTAAAGATGCCTCATCCTCGAACGTAAATCGAAAAAGATTAGGCCAATGCCGCTGTCCTGGCAAAATTTCCCTCATTGCACCCTGCATGGCGTTGTCCGTCTTCATTATTCTACATGGTGCAAAAACGTAAAACTCCATTCATTTCATTTCATTCTGGAACAAATACAGGGTGTTCTGCAGGAAAAGATGATTTTGGTGCATTATGCCCCGAAAATTTTCTGAACTTGGTACATGTATATACTTAAAATAGCTGAGACGATCAAATTTACGAACCGGTAACAATCCAGAAACATAACATATTAACATATAAAGTGAAGCATGCTTACTCTTTTCGAAACATCTAATGGTACTTCTCTGTGGAGGAGTTCACTGCTAAGCTATACAACTTTTACGCTCGCATTTGACATACTTGTGTCGAGATTTTGATTAACGAAATTGTCACGGATTTTTATTTCAGTTAGCAAACCTGATCTTTCGATGTGATTATTTCATTATGACCTGTATAGTATTGCATTAGAACACTTTGAATTACTGCGGATCTTTTATAAACTGCGGATCAAATTTTTGTATTTAAATAGCAATGTTTATATAAGTCTACATTCAAGAGACAGAAGTTTTGTTTTTTGACCACTGAGTTTATTTATGATTTTTTTTTTAAAATTCAATTATATTATCGTTATCGGTATTACAATGGAGAAGGTAACCAATGATAAGTCGTCTAAGTACTGTAATTCGAAGCATTGCACGAAGGTACGATGACTACTTCCCAATATAACAGAATATCCCTTTGACGATAATCAGACGCCCTTCTCCACGTACCCACTACCGTCTGTTATTCCCCTTACTCCCTACTTGCCTTCCCATCTACTAACTTCTTACCCGTCTCTCAGCCCCCTCATGCTTTCCCTGTCTGTTCCTCCTCCTTCTGACTACATTCCCGTCTACTCCTTTATCTCTTCCTAACTCTTGTGTACCAAAATATAAACCGGAAGTTTTACAGCGACACCTATAACAGCGCTATTTTGTTATGAAAGGGGATCTCAAAATGATGGTACATAGATTCTCATAAATAGTTCACGTTGAAAGTTTAATAGTATCTTTCAAATAAGGAATATTCTTGTAATATGTTTCATTTATCCACATTTTGTTTGGGTTCTTCACTTCCATCTTGACCTGGTTTCTGTACCATTCTTGCATGCAATCTAAAGTAATAGACTGGTATTGCCAATGGAATTTATTGGCGAACAGTTCTACTCTGTGAGTCAACATGGGTAGATCTTTGTAGCCAAATATACAGATGTCACGTACCCATTTACCTCCACACGAAAAATTAAAATAAGGATTCATGCAATGTCTCCACACTTTAAAGCGACTTATGTAAGGTTTGTTTTTCCAATTAGTCGTGCTAGCGTTTCCTGAAAAGAAACCACTTTTAATTAATAAAATTTCAAATTTATATGTTAGGACATTCAAGTGAGGCGGGAGAGGTGACTCCTGAACATAGGTTCCAGAGCCTCAGCTGAGCCTACAGGCCTGGAATTGAGTCCGTACCATCTGCCTCTATTCCAGCCTCTGATAGATATTTTGACAGTTGTCGGCTGGGTTGATGGTAGACTGCTGCTTTGAGTTTGAGAATGATTGGTAGTTTACATATTCAGACCTAAGAGGACAGTAACTGAGCTAACTGATACATTATCCCATCTGTTGGTAGCAGCATAGCCTATGAGTCCGAGGAAGGCGACATTGGTATGTTTTAAATTTAACCATACTTTTGAAAAGGGGTATATTGATCGACAAATTGCAAATCACGCCGAGGAACTCGTTCACAGAGTGTTTGTCGCATTATATCCTTAGGCTTTCTAATGATATGGTACTAGAGAGGCATATACATACCTATGTAGGAACCGGGTATACCAAGTTGTGGGTTATGATTCAAAGAGGCAAACAGTGTCTCATCGGGTACAATAGTATTGTTCAACCATTTTATAAAATCTTTAGACACCTGATTGATGATTGTATAGTTTACAAATTGTCTATTTAATACAACGTGAATATTTCCTTTCCTTGGTTTAATACCATGAGGTGGTCGGCCTTTTCTTCTCCATCTTGCTCTCCATATTGATCTGAAGATTTAAAGGAGTAAAGCCAACGACCAGTGGACCACTTACACTTAGTAGCATCGACATTCTTAAAAAGGATACTAGCCCTTAGAATGGACATGCAATTTAAAGTCTCAAACTTGGTCAACAAGTGTATATATTCATCAGTTGGACTTACCAGGTACCATGACTAAAGAATAGAATCTCTATATAAGACGATATATCCATTAAACTAAATAATTCTTGAAACACGCTTCAAAGTATGTTCCAATAATACTTAGTGTAAAGATGGGTTTCTTAATTCTTAATCATATCATTATGTTCTTATTGCATATAATTAAGAGTTTTAACCAATCATAATGTCCATGTTTGTACAGTCTGAATAAAAAAAAAAGGCTTTTTGACCTTTCTTGATCGGTCACTCATTGGAATTCTGCTGATAATTCTCTTCTAATTTAGCTAATTATGAATTAATTATGGACATTTGTCATTAGAACACCTCTTCTTTCTATCAATATAAGTATTAGCATTTTCAAGGGAACCCATCTTTAATTAATTATTACTTAGTTTTATGATTTTTTTTGGATTTGCGTTTGGCATCTGGTAGATATAATAAACTAGTAACTTACCTGTCTTCAGCAACATCAACACTGTTGGCACCATGAAACAATTTCAATATTTTCACTATTTGTGAATTAGTTTTTAAAGGGTATTCCTGACCAGTTAAATTTATGAAATATTTCCAATCACTGTAACTAAGTAAGTCTCGCATGCATATTAACTCTGACTCCAGAACCGAAAATTTGCCCCACACGACTTTTATACTTCTCGAAGCCATTTGTACATTTTTTAAACATCGGGTAATATTTTGTATGGCGTGATGTACGCCCAAATCTGCCTTAGCGTCCACGTGTATGCAGTAATAATTATGAGGTCTATATATGGCCCTTAATAGTTCTTCAACTTGGTTTGCGTCCTTATACATCATGATACTAAATGCCAAAGGAAATTTCGCTTCTTCTTCAGTAAAATCCATGATATATTTTCCAGTCATACGATAATCTTCACAATTTGAAGTAGCTTTGATCAAATCTTCGTTACTTGGTACTTCTTTCCAACACGCTCTGGTAAAATAACGGGCATCCAATTGTTCGCTTTCATTACCAGCTATTAATTTACTACATGACGGAAGTTTCCACTTTTTATTGTGTCTACACGAGTATCTAGGTTGTTCGTCTACTGTTAGGTCGTCAGGCGATGTTTCTGACTGATTCTTGGCATCAGTTAATGAAGTTGGATGGCCAGTTGTGCTGCTGAACTCTGGTTCCTTTCGTCTGTCACTAATTCGATTGAATTTGAATTCTGGTGATGCTCGATGTGATTGCTCAGCGGAGTCATTTTTAAGCATAAGAAAAACGTCCTTCCGGAATTGATCGTAGAAATCTTTTGAAGAGCTTGAATTCCAGTTCGGTCGAAACCTTTTTGTCGGCTGTTGCCTATTTAGAAGTTTATCATGATCCGGAGACCATGAAGCTGCTACAATTTTCCGTAGAGTTTTCTGGTGAATAGGAGATTCCGAGTAAATAACGTTTCTGATGTTGGGTGTTGGATACCATGAGGACATGTGGGAAATCATTATTAACAGAATGACGACGACAACCAGAACCAGACTGTGCAGAGTTGATTTGGCTGTTTGTTGTATCGTTGCTGCAACAATATATTATAGAAAATTTAAATTAGAGTGCAGATGTTAAAGAAGTAAAATTGCAGTCTGGAGAAGAGAGAAAATAAACAGAAAAAAAAGAATTTAGTCTGGAGAAGAGAGAATTTAGTCAGGAGAATGGATAATAGGCCTATAGTCAGGAGAAGATAGAATTTAGTCAGGAGAAGATAGAATTTAGTCAGAAAAGTTTATAGGCCTATGAAGAGAAGAGAAAATTTAGTCAGGAGAAGAGAGAATTTAGTCAGGAGAAGATAGAATGTAGTCAGGAGAAGATAGAATTTAGTCAGGAGAAGATAGAATTTAGTCAGGAGGAGACGAAATTTAGTCAGCAGAAGAGAGAATTTAGTCAGGAGAAGCTAGAATTTAGTCAGGAGAAGATAGAATGTAGTCAGGAGAAGATGGAATTTAGTCAGAGAGGTAGCCAGGAGATAAGAGAGTATAATCAGCAGAAGAGAAGTAGTCAGGAGATAAGAGACTATAATCAGTAGAAGAGAGGTAGTCAGGAGATAAGAGACTATAATCAGTAGAAGAGAGGTAGTCAGGAGATAAGAGAGTATAATCAGTAGAAGAGAGGTAGTCAGGAGATAAGAGAGTATAATCAGTAGAAGAGAGGTAGTCAGGAGATAAGAGAGTATAATCAGTAGAAGAGAGGTAGTCAGGAGATAAGAGAGTATAATCAGTAGAAGAGAGGTAGTCAGGAGATTAGAGAGTATAATCAGTAGAAGAGAGGTAGTCAGGAGATAAGAGAGTATAATCAGTAGAAGAGAGTATAATCAGTAGTCAGGAGATAAGAGAGTATAATCAGTAGAAGAGAGGTAGTCAGGAGATAAATGAAATGAAATGAATGGAGTTTTACGTCCTACTTTTCTAGTCAGGAGATAAGAGAGTATAATCAGTAGAAGAGAAGTAGTCAGGAGATAAGAGGATGTAATCAGGATTAGAGAGAATATAGGCAGGAGAAGAGAGGTAGACAGGAGAAAAGATAAATTAGTCGGGAGAAGAGAGAAAATAAACAGAAGAATGAATGAGATCACAGAAAAAAGAGAAAATTCAAATTTAAGTGGAGAAAGATAAAAAAAAGATAACAAAAAAACTCACCCATGTTTAAAGTGTTTTCATTATCAAAATAATTAAAATGAAAAGAATATACTATACAAGACGGTATCGATTACAATGAACATATGTTCTTATGTAAATAGTATATTTATATTTATTTTTATGCCGCTTATTGATAGTTAAAGGAATATAACATCTTTTTTGACATGTTTTAAATTTAATAAAATTTTACGTACCTGTAGCTCTTTTCTATAAAATTCTGCTCCCGTATATCTATTAAGACTTCTTTTCAAATATCAACAACTTTATTTGTTCTCCATAACTAGTTAGTTAAGATTCAAATATACATACGAGGTGTAAGATGAAAACAACTGGAACTGTGGAACTCTATTATTCCACTCATATTTATACTCATTTGTATGAAACAAGTGTTGAATTATCTTGGTGGTCAATTATATATATAAAATATTGAATGACCACGATCAAAAGGAAAGAATTCAGTCCAATATGTTACAAACATTACATTTACTTTTTATACGCCCACATGGGGGGCGTATATTGCCGTCACCCATGTCGGTCGGTCCGTCCGTCCGTCCACAATTGCTTGTAAACACTCCACAAGGCACAATTCTTGACTGATTTCGACGAAACTTGGTATGGTTGTTTGTAATCACCCAAGGATGAACCCTATTGAAAATCAGAAAAATCGAAAAATATTTAGTATGAGTTATTGCCCTTGTTATTGAAAACGCGTTCAATTTTTAGCACGTAATCACTTTGATGAAACTTGGTGTGAATGTTCGTAATCATCCAAGGATGAACCCTATTGAAAATCAGAATTAAAAGAAATTTAGTATGAGTTATTGCCCTTGTTCTTGAACCGCTTTCAAATTTAGCTCTTAAACACTAAAAGGCATGATTCTGGATTTTGACAAAACTTGGTTTTATTATTCAGTCGTTAAGATTGAATATTTGCCTTCTAGAGTTTTCAAGAGCTAAAGATTGAACACGTTTTCAAGAACTAGGGCAATAACTCATACTCAATATTATTCAGTGTTGTGCTAAAGAGTTCAAAAGAAGTGTATGACTGAAGGTTGAATATTTCATACTGGTGATTGTTACTGTACTGCTAAATATTTATGTTCAAAAGCTGCCAGTGGGCGTATGTTACCTTGCCTGGCAAGCTATCTTAAGATACTCTGTGATACACAGAAAAGACATAGTGAGTAAAATTCCTAGTTTCAGATATTTTTAAAGGAATTATATGATTTTCGTACATTTCTAGTACTTCTGAAGACTTTTGACTGAACAGCAAAAAAAATTGCAGATGTCATTTATTTACTGGGAATTTCAATTTGCAATTCACCATAACAGGTATAAAATTAAAACAAAAAATCAGTATAATTTTATTAGACTGGTCCGAATTATTAGCTGAATTAGTTTAAAATTCAAGATAAATTATTACTGTGTATATAGATAAATAAGACAAGTATATGGATATATACTTCTGGAATATGTATTACTTCAACGATTCAATGTGGTTCTCACACCGTCATCAGGAATATGGGTTGGTTAGATGGTCACCAACTCTAGTTGGCTTATGATATACATTTCACTCATTCAAATGACCTATTATTGTAAAGGTGTGAAGAAGGAAATGGTGACCATTAAAGGATTACTGAAACAACAGAAATAAATTGAAATTCAATGTTTCAATATAAAGGCTGTATCCCGTGTTAAGATCTTTAACTATTGTATTCTGATGTTTGTCGTGACAAATAGTCACTACCATTTTCAAGTATCGATGAGGTCAAGTTACACAAATGTTCAATGAGGTTGGCCAAATGTATAAGACATACGTCTGAAGATCGCATAGCGTGAAATTCATGAACAACATGGTATATAGGTTTTGTTTTAAGGACAGTTGTCTGAAGATCGCATAGTGTGAAACTCTGAGTAACAACAACATGTTTTATAGGTTTTGTTTTAAGGACAGTTGTCTGAAGATCGCATAGCGTGAAACTCTGAGTAACAACATGTTTTTTTAGGTTTTGTTTTTGGGACAGTTGTCTGAAGATCTCAAGATCGTAAGACATAAAGACACCTATATGTTTCACATTAATTCCTTGAGTCTGAATACCCTCACATGAAATTCATTGCATATTCCTTCTTTGGAATTATTCCAGTTTATTCTTCTAATGGTATTCTCAATATTTGCACCCATTCTGATAACCGGTCGGCCTTAAAGTTTGGTGGTGTAGATGAGGAAAAACTGTAATACCATTTATTGAGTAAAAATTGCAATATTATAGTATTCAATCAATTTCTCTGATCTATTCAATATAAGACGGCCACTTTGATTCATTCTTGGATCTCTGTCGTTATCTTATGGCATTCGTATTATAATGTCAAGAGCCATACCACGCTGAAAGAACAGTTCTCGTCTGATCACTGAAGTAAAGCAACGTCGGCGTACATTAGTACTTGGATGGGTGATTGTCTAGGAACACCAAGTGCTGTAGAGTCCTTTTTGGTGACTTTTTCGCTTGTTTTACGAGAAAGTCCCACTTGAAAAATTCCCTGCCACTCTATAATCTTAGAATATGGATTATTCAAAGACTGCTTGTAATGGGTAAGGTCTGTAAGAACCAGATCACTTAATGAATTTAGTCGCCTTAAGAGCACTGACAACTTCAGTTTCTGGTGTTCTGCTTCCTGTAGATACTGGTATCTTAGTCGGATAGTTGAGCGGTCTCGATAGTCTCGTATTGAGCATTTACAGACTATCTCGGCCACTTGGTCTGAGTCCATCTTTATGGTCTCCTGACATAAATATCGGGAAGTTTTTGTGTCACGAATAGTTCGTTTGTTCAACGGACTGGAAATTGCCAAATAGAGGATAAACTTACAGTATTTTCTTAATTAAATTATCATTATTCGACTGGACACAGTCTGTATTATAAATTGACAGTGCGAATAATTGAGTAAATTATCGGCAATATTCTAATTTAAAGGAAACAATCCTATGGCTAGATAGATATTACAATCATCATGGCGTTACAAATACAACACGACACACTTTAAATTAGACAAATAGCCACAAGATACATAAGAATTTATCATATTTTTTTTTCAAAAATGTTCATTGGGGATATTATGTTTTATCCTTTATTTTCGTATGTCGAATATTTAAAGGATGGGTGGGCCATTTTTTTTGACCAATCAAACTTTAGTCTCAGAAACTGGATTTTTTTTTTAGCTGAGCTAATCAGTTATAGTGTTCACAGCTCAAATCCATGTTTGTCCAGAATTATCTGCGTTTCAATGTTAAAATGACGACTCATCATTTTAAGATACTCTGTGATATATAGATTAACATAATAAAAGTCAACGGCACGTCGGAATTATAAGAATCGCTGCAATTTCAAGCTTCAAGTTCATATCAAGAATACTCCATCGACTTTTTTTTCCATCGTAGCCGCTTTTACATCATCGTCAGTGCTCTCCCTTGACTTACTTGGGAACCGTCGAGTAAAAGACTTCTGGACTGAAAGCAATGTCGATCGGCGAGGCACGACAGAGGGGCTGACCCACTCATAAATTTGATTATGAAAAATTTAGAATGAATTATTCTTCTATCGTCATAACAGTAGGCCCTACGATGCATTCCAGCGCAGAACCACTTTCTTTGCCAAATCATTGGTAAATCTAAATTTGTGGATTTTTTTTTTAGTAAATTCTAAATCTCAACTGAAAACAGTCATAGAATGACTTTGCGAGGATAAAATTATATTTTTTGCTAGTTCACACGGAAATATATTTTCTTCTAAAAATTACAACTAAAAACTTTTGGCTGACAATTTTCCTCTTTAAAAACGAATTTCGAAGTGCTAATGTGCGCTCATGTTTATGTCTTCAAGAACACAAAAGCTGATATTCCAATTCTCATAGAAATAAGTGATAGAATTCGATATACAACTGAACTTGCAGAGCACTTTACTAACAGCAAATCCTTACCCATTGCAGAAGGTAATTTTTTTTAATCTAAATAGAGGATAATATTCTCAGACATGAAAAAGATTGCAGAAAAATCAGTGAGAAAAACAGAGAAAATCACGAAATAGTAAGGATTTATAGGAGGAATGTGTGTAATATAAACGACCAAGGATCCTAAAAGGGGTAATAGAAAGAAAAATATAGAAATTCCCTGATATAGCAGGTAATATAGCAGGTAATAATATATCTAAACAACAAAGAATAACTTTAGGTTACTTCCCTTTAGAAATAAATCAAAGAAGCTTTTACACTTGTCTAATGTAATTTGAGCTGAGATCGTATAGCCAAGTTTCATGTTCCGTGTATTTTCTTTGCTCAACGCATCGTAAAAGATGTATCAGTACTAACAACAACATTGAACATCGAAGAAGAAAATAACAGAAGTTGAAACGAGACTAAAGATATACTTTGAAGAAAGTTGAACAAATTGCCACGCTCGGCTCGTTTGTCCACACGGTTATAGAAGCCTCGTCTGACTGAGCCCGTTCCTAAAGGCCAATAACTAACGGGATATTCTTTAATGAGCTTTTGGGAAATCGATAGGATAACTTGGTTTTATGTCGTAAAAAGACGTAAAACGTTGATCAACGCTGATATTTCACTTAAAACAGGGAACTTGGCGTTTATTCTAACGAGATGGTGCTACACTGTGAATAGCTTGTGTTTTACGTTCTATGAGGAAATATTGTGTTTGAATTTTCTAACTGAAGTGATAGTGAACTAACTTGTGAATCTTTCGTCTTGAAAGCATTGATTTGGAATCTTCGTCAAGGCAATGGAAAAGAAAACGTTCACGTGGTTTTAGCAGACGATTTTCCATTTTTCCCCATTAACTGTCAAATTTACGGTGATTTGATTGGTGGTTTAAGGAGGAGGGTCTATGTGATATTGACAGGTGTGCAAGGGAGAGTATTGAGGAGTTTTGCTCTGTAATGGTACTTTACTGTAAAAGTTACAACTAGTCGTGTGGTAGCGTATGTACAACATGTCCACCGTTTTTATAGCTTTAGCTGATCAATGAACAATCATTATCAGTGATTTTCTTTCCAAGTCATTTATACCTACACTATCCATTACTTAATAAAGTGTTGTCAATTTGGACCATCAACGTTCTAGTGTCGTCAGCTGATCATGGATCAAGGCATCTAGCCTGTATTAAAGCCGATTGTCAGCACTTTGTGGCCTGAAAGTGACAACTGACCATTGTGCCAGTAGTGATATAATAAAATAGCTTGTGATATTCGAAGTGTTATGAATTAAATGTTATTTTGTATTCAATGAGGTTATATATTCGGTGATTTTTAGCAGTAATAGCAGTTAAGTGAACAAAATGATAGTGATATTTCTTATATTAGCTGGTAAGTAGTTTATATTGAACCCTTTCTGTCTTAACTCGAGGATAAGATTTAACTTCGATTGCTTATTTCAGTATATCAAAAGTAACTAACTAAACATTAAGGTATTTAGGCATATAATGGGGTATATAATTCAATTTGAGCAAGCTCGATCTTCTGTCATATATTCAGAAATAACAAAATATTTTTTTTACCAACTACCAACTTTTTTCAAACGTACGAGTAGGAAAAAGCGACGCCTTTTTTTGTGCACACTAATGTTGCTAATTTGGTGTTATCGTCGTAGTACGCAAAGATGAGCATACCCTGCTACGTTACGACAAACATTGAATGTAGCTACTACATAATACAGCTATTACGTACTATAAAATGATAACTCTAGTATAACGGTTTGATCGTGCCGAAAAAAAGTCAGCAAGATTATCGAAGTTAAAACAAAGATTGCGATATATTTTGAAAAAAATGTGTGAAGAATCTAAATTGATCATTGGATTACAAAGTTTGTAACAGAAATGTAGTTAAATAACGAATACTGTCTGGTATACAATATAACCCCGTATATTATAACACTAGTATATAACACTGGTATAATATCATGTTATACGCTGAATTTACTGTTATTTTAACAAGTTAACCATGATTTACCGTCCTTACGAACTTCCTCGTTTTTACCTCGGTTTATCTTCTATCTTCAATTTATTTCAACTCTTTCTTTCCATTTTTCGATGATTTACGACTGATATTAATTTAGCTTTAGTACTCTCTTAGACCACGTGCAATTCTGAGGTCCAATATTCATTCTTACACAAAATACTGCACTTTGTATACATTGTTACTTTAAGACGATCTTTAATTAATAACTTTGTTTTAACATAATGTCGTTTTTATATTTTTTTTTAAAGAGGATTGAAACACAGGCTGATTTTGTGGTTTAGTCTGTAAATCACCTATATCGAGAACGAATGGGCGAAATTTCGCTTAATTTCGTTCGTTAAACAGCTTCTTTAGTCAGTCGGATAGTACAACAAACCGAGGTCCTATATTTGTCACAGACTGTACATATGAGAATTCCATTGACAGTTTTAGAGTTAAAAAGTAGTGGGGTAATGTCGTTGTCCTGTCTAAAATTTCCCTCATTATTCACTGCATAGCATTGTCTGTCTTCATTTGTCCAAACGGAAACAAAACAGTAGGACATAATACTCAATTCCATTTCATTTACGATATGACGAAGTCAAAGTATTGACGCGTGGTTACTATCTGTATTGAAAAGTAATGAAATGGAAAGAGACATTGTGATCAGTCAGAAATTACAGTTTTCACTACCTTGTCATGACATCTAACTTTCAATTTTCATATAATTAATTAATTAATTTACCTTTTCACACGTGAACGTTAATGAATGAACTATAGGATAGCAATTGATATAATTCACAGATCGATAATAGAAAATCACTCTTCAGAGATATACCTTCGTACAAAACGAGTTCCTAACATTTTACCATCATCTAAATGTAAGAGGGGGGATTAAGAAACGTATACAAGTCTGTTTTGTTCACTATCACGCAATGTCTAAATATCGTTAAAAATTCATATTTTGTGTATAAATTGTTGCGTCAAACACGAAACAGCAAAGTGTAAGATTAGAGTTTATTATGAAAATATATAAAAGTTGTTTAGAATAGGGGGATTAAGTGGTTTTAAGGAAATATTACCGTTAGAATACAGGGGATTACTGTTATGAATATTTGAAGAATTCGACCATTAGAGCATACACGAAATGTGTGTGCTGTGTAGATCTGCATATTTTGATCATGCAAAGCTTTGTCAAACATTTACAATTTTGTAATTCTTTTACATCATCGATGATGGCTTTGGTATTTATGTTTTAAGTCTCAAAGTTACTGAAATGTTGGATACTTTCACTACCAATTTTAGCTCAAATGAACTTGATCGTTGAACACTTATTTTCGAATGCAATGTAATATGTATTTTTCTGTTGAAAAAATTTTCAACGTAAGTCAGAATATGTTATAAGTCTACGTGATAATTTTCAACTGAAATGCATTTTTAACAGAACATCAATGTTAACTCAGAATTCTTTCGATTTCCATTGATTAGATAAGTTCCAGTTAATGCACAAGTTATAAAGCTAGTCAATGTTTCAGTTATTTTAATAGTAAGAAATCGATCTGATATAATCCTAGCAAAATTTATTGATGTTTCTCGTTTTAACGGATTATTATTGAATTTCGTCAGATATTAATTTTTGCCATATCACATATTTCTTCTTCGAAAGCAAAATAAATTCAATTGTTTTCTTCTCATTTCAATTCCTATATAAATATTATCTTCGTACATATATATAGATGCAGATTCGCCTAAATGCAGACATAACAGTAAATTGGTGCAGTATAATGGGAGTTTCGTCTTGTTTCTCATTTGAAATGTCGATTGCCTTGCTCTTGGCTCAAGGATACTTTTAATTTAACAGAAAGTGTTATTTGTGCACCATATTATGGTTGTATATGAATTTGCACTGGACGCATGTTTGTGTTAAGAACACTATTAAACGTTACTGACCCATAGATCAAAGACAGGTTACATTCCAGATTCATCTGTTCAGTTTATCAATTGCTACCACACAGTCGACTGTTCGTCGTTGGTCGTTTCTTTAGCTATTCGCTAAAAAGGGTCTCTTTCTTTTTTCTCTATTTTTAGATAAAAATGAATTGGTATATAATACAGTAAACCTAGCTTTAAGTATTTTGTACCAATTTGTATTTGTTGGGTGGATGGAAAAAAAGTACCGAATTCTCTCGATTAGTGTTCCTTTTTGCAACTCGTGACACCCGATCCTGTCAAAAAAAGTTAATTAAGCAGAAAGTTTCGGACTAATTCATACCTGTCTCAGGTGACACCCAACAGGTATTATCAGAAAAAAGATGGCATCGTTGGTGGTAATGGGTAGAGCTGGAATCTGGAATATCTTGAAACCTGGGCCCAGCTATTTTCAGTAAGATATCTTTAGATTTGAAAATGTCTATCAGTTTACATTACACGCCATGTTTTCTGTTCTTCCAGTGAAAGTTTGTGCCAAAAACATCGTAATGGCAATCACCTTGAGGTACAAGTCGCTGTTTTACACCGGTACCAACCTAGGGGAGGGTTCTCTTATACAAGCAATTTACGTGTGTTCAGATTATTTTAAGAGTGTGTATAAGCAAGTTTACGAGAGGTTGATTTGGATAAAATGAAATCAAGAAGGCCATCTTTGACAGCTGTACAAACATGTTTGCTGACTTTCTTATAGAAATTTGGCAACATAAATCATCTGCTGTGCATATTGACAGGTCTTGCATAACTGTGGGTCAGTTACATGCATGAACTGCATAACAAAAAGTTTAGAAAAAATGACCAAAAATTGCATAACAATGGCCGAATGGACTCACATGTATATTCCCTTGAAGCAATAACATGGATTTTGTAAGTCTCTTCAGAAGTAATAATTTAAATTCACTTCTGTGGACATTTTTTAGTAAGCCGTAATCTTTTGAAATAGTTTTGTTTCATACTGAAATCCATTGTCTCTATATGTACCTTTAGTAGGGTATCTTCTAAAAGACCCATTTGGTTCATCCATATATTGTTACAGAAAATGTCCAAACTTTCCAAGAGTTAAAATGAGCAGTTATAGACAACTATAACAACTTTTATGAAGTATATCAGGCTATATATCAAGCTAGACAATTAATATACTAAGATCCTCATATTAAATATTGACATTGGACAAAAGGAATAATTCTAATTTACCCAATTCCAATGGGTGAACCCTTAGAGTTAAAATGAGCAGTTATACAAAACAACTTTTATGAAGTATATCAGGCCATATATCAAGCTAGACAATTAATATACTAAGATCCTCTTATTAATATTGACATTGGACAAAAGAAATATAAATTCTAATTTACCAGGTGTACCCCTTTAATACAGTCTCTTATTCAAATTACCCAGATGTTTGCTATGATATATTTATATTGAAAATTGTTTGTGGAGGTGAAACGTACTGAACCTTTCTCAGTTTCATAATAAATATCAGCATTGAAAATAACCAAATATACAGATCAAATTCTCATAATATTGGTGCACAATCTGTACTGCTTCCATCCCTCCTGGGTAATCTAAGATTTCTGCTGCAAGTTTCAGTTCTGGTGCAGCCTAAAATATTGTATCAGATATAGTGATGCACAGTTAGATCATGTTTAAGAGCAGATCTGGTGATGGTGAGCATAAAGCATCATTGACAGGGGAATTCAGGTTGAAAAATTACTGTCCAGGTCCATTGAAGGATAAATCCCCATGATAGGGTTGTAAATGTAAAGGTTTTCATAGTTAACTCCTCTGACACCTGCATCACTGAAAAGAGGAACCTAGGCTGAAATATCCGAAGATAACATACTGATTAATCTAAGCTGAGGTCAAATCTTTGAAAAAATATTTCAAAATTGCTAGGTTTGAGAACAAGAGGTAAAATTGCTTCTTGGGAGTTACTAAGAATAAGCACTCCGTTTCATGCAAGAAGAAAATGAATCATGAATCAAGCAATATAAAGGTGTGTTCCCCCTTGTATTTGAATTGCTTCCTGTTGTTTGTAAACTGTGATGTAATATTGATGTCTACTGGAGACTCAACCTTTGATAAACACAAGATAATTGTTAATTAAGTAAAAATGCTAATTAGATAATTATCTTGCAAATATCAGATATGATATAATAATTTAAAGACAGTAACCTTTGACCTTTTGGTGGTAAGAATTAGCCACCCCACCCATCTCATTTATTACACCAGTGTATCCAATTTCATTCCATTATAACTATTATAGGCTCATCATCTTTTCATCTTCACTCATTGTTTACTCAAAATTTCGGGTGGATTGCTATGAAATTTGGTGCAGGTTTTGACACAAAGGAAATCATTTCTTTGATATTTACATATTAAATTTG